CAATCACTTCATAATCCAAATAAAGTTAAACAACGTCCAAAATTATCTACAATGACACATCATACAGCTCAACGATGTTCAACTATTTTTGAACAATCACCATTGGTTTATGAAACATTACATGAACAAAATAGTGGTCATGCTAGTAAACCATCATCTTTATTAATCGCTGCTAAAGCTAAGCCTTGTTTTATTAAAAATACTAATGAATCAATATCAAATCAAAAACAAAGTTCTAATATCGAACAAAATTATCCTCAACATCTAAATCCATTCAATGATGAAACAGGTAAATAAAAATATTTAATTAGAAAACACAAAAGAAGAAAAACAAAAAATCATTATACATTTCTTTCATAAATAGATATCACACCATCAACACCATCAAATGAATCTAATCGTAATAATAATAATGATTCAATTCGTCGTTATTTTGAACGACTCACACTTCTTGAAACTATTTATGAAAAATTAAATTTTGAATCAAATAAAACACCATTAGAACCTATTAATCATCATCAACAAATTTCAACACAAGAAAATTTAAATGAGTTATCATCATTACAAAAAAATCGTTCTATTGAAAAAGCAATACAAACAAAAGACGAAATTAAAAATCATTCACATACACAATCATCCAATAAATCTGGTAAAAAAAGATCAAAATCTAAACCTATATATACATTTAGATTTTTATAGATACAAATAAAACAATTATAAATAAATTCATTGAAATGAATGTTGATGGAACTAGTGTTAGTAGTGGAAAAAGTTCAATTAAAAGACGAGCACCAACTGCTCCACATATATCTTTAAATGATAATAAACGACAGCATCATTCAAATAATTCAGTAAGTAGATGAAATTTTATTAAGTATTATTACTCCTATTGTATAATAAAACTTTTTAAAATAAAGTTACGAAACATTGTTCAAAGAAAATAATAAAAATCTTCAATGTTATAAACTTACGAAATCATTGTATAATCCTTTTATTTTACTCAAGTTTGTTCATATCAAACATTTCTTTTCTAGAACATGTTTACATTATCATCAATGGATCTTAATTTAACACATAAAACTGATCAAGATATAAATAAATCTACTCGATTGAAATCTTATGATGAAAAATTTCCAAAACGAGAAGTAAATTCAAAAGAAAAAACACAACAAGATATAGCTGCTTCATGTGATGATAATGGACATATTTTTGTTTATGATTCTAATTCAAATCAAATTGATAATCATATTAATGAAGAACAAACTAGTAAATAAAAATATCTTTGCTTTGATAAACTATCTTTCTTTTTCATTTCTTTTTTTCAGCTACATTACCAAGACAAACTGAACGTATTCAACAATGGTTATCATCATGTGAAACAAAAGAAGAATTAGATATGCAAAATAATTTATTAACAGTATCACAAAATACTAGTCCAAAAAATCAATTAAAAATGCGTTGTATTACCAAACCAATACGACAACCAAGTACATCACCACAACATTATCATGATAAAAAACTTTCAACAAAAATGAATAATGAATTTTCTGAACCAGGCCGTTTTCGAAGTTGTTTAAAAATTAATCTTGAGAAAAATGAACCTACAAAAAATTATCGAAGTCGAGCATCATCCATTACATTAAAACATAATCAACGACAGAAAACAATTCTTGACGAAAACTTAAACGCTACAGATGACGATGATGAATATTTTGAACGAGATAAATTATCACCTAGTTTTCAATATGATCATCAAGCTGTATTCCTTTAATGTTAGATATTATACTTTTTTTTTTCGTTTGTTCTTGCCTTTGTATATTTATATTTCAATTGACGTTTTTTTCGCAAAAAAAAAATATATGAGTTCATATAGAATTTCTTTTTCTTTATTAAATTTTCATACTAAACGACGACTTTGATTTATCGAAGTTGATTGATGTGATGTATCCGCATCAATTAAAACATTCTCTCCTTTACTGTCTCTTCTTCCTCGTATCAATTACCAACTATCTATAATTGATGTGAATAAATTAAACTATTCGAAAGTATATATCTCCAGTATTAGTCAAGGAAACATTACTTACGTTCATAACTATCTTTTCTTATTAACAACCATGCAACAATCTCAAGCGCCATCATCATCATCGTCTTCATACATGTATCCATCATCTCCAACACCAGGTTTACCTCTTTATGATTCTGGTTATTCATCATATGCTGGTTATTCATCACCATCATCAAGTTCATATCATTATTCAACATGTCCATATTCAAACAACGAATCATTCTATATGCCTTCGGAAACTTGTATGATTAAAATTCATAATAAAAAAAAAAACAATATTCATTCTTATCATTTCAGATTTACCATACTATAGTCCAACATCACAAATAATGCATCAACCTCCACAACCATTTGCTAGTAGTACACCTGTACAGTCAAGTAATGTATGTCTTATCCCATCGATTAAGGTAAGGTACGTTTTTTTTTTCACATATTTACATTGAACGCATATAGTCCGTAAGTAATTATTTCGATGATAGAGATTATATTGTGGATTGACTATGAGTTAATCTATATATATTTTTTAGGTTTCGCAAGGAAAACATCCTCCTCAACAACGTCAACCAGCTACGCCATCTCCATCTTTATGTTTAGTAAGTACTTAATTAATTTTCAATTTTTTTTGTGACAATTTTTGTTTCATTGTATAGGCTCGTAAACGCATCAGCGATGAGGCAATCGAACGTCTTAATGCTTTTTATGCCATAAAAAAACGTCCAACTGAAGCTGATAAAGATCGTCTTGCTATGGAATGTAATATAACATTAGCACAAGTAAATACATGGTTTAACAATGCACGTTCACGTCGTGGTGATACAAATCCTAAATTAGCACAAAAATTACTTAAACAACAAATTGATTCGTTAAACAATCAAGTCGCTTTTCTTCAACAACAACAACAACAGCAATCATCGTCATCAGAACATAATTCTTTTTGATTTCATTCTTTTTTTTAAAATAAGTTTTGTGTATATTTTATTTCTCTTGTCAAATAAAAAACCTATTTTGATATTAAAAATTCTATTTATCACTTCAATAAAAGCAAATATCTTTTGTTCCATTAATATATTCAATTTGATAATGCATTTGCATAATTCTATAGTATTAGTGTAAATGTTAACAATTGAAGCGATGTGTATGTCTTCATTCTAGGATGGTCATCAGAATAGTAATGTATTAAGATTAGATAGAATGTTGTGATTATGTGTTACTTATGAATATCCGTCTGATAATAAAATATTTTGTACCAATGTGAAGCAGCTGGTAATGCGTGACTTGTTCTATTTGATTTGTACATTTTTCTTTACTTCTTTTGTACAAAGAATATGTTTAGTTGGACAAAAAAAAATCATAGAGATGATCGATCGATTTAATAACTGAGGAAAAGCCCAGGAAGAAATAAGAGTTCCGATACACGTTATACTTTTTTGTCTTTGTTGGTAGTGGTGTTTATGAGATATCGTGCGAGAGCATCACTAGGATACAATAGTTAAACATGATGATAGTAAATATAGTGTCTGAATATATCTGATCGATGAACAGAGATGAGTTTAGATCGACTCTTATCAAATGAAGTGGATTTTTTTTGTAGCATTAATTTTAGGCTAGATAATAAGACGAAATAGTCTGTTGATGTGTTTTTTTTTATCTTTGGTAATAGGTTGGATTAGTTTAGCATTTTAAGTTACGTAAGAATTTTAATAACAGAAAAGCTGTCTTTTTTTTCGTCGTGAAACAAAAACGAAGTACACGAGTAGTACGTCATTCGATAAAAACCAAACTGAGATATTGAAATCAATTTGTTTGAAAATAAATGAAGCTGGAAAGCAAACTTGTTTTTATATATTATCCTTTTATACCATATCAGTGAATTCGAGATAAGTATTATATACTAGTAATAAAACTATATGTCTACTTATCAGTTCAGCAATGTCGATTGATTTTGCGATATTGAAGAACAAAAAAGGAACTTATTTGTGTTTTGTTAGATTTTCTGTACAACATCACAGTGTCTTTTCATTTGTAGTGATATTCCGCATGTTTGTTAGGATATTATTCAATAGAATTCATTGCAAAATATTTGAAACCATATTGATACATTTACCATCTTCTCTTATTGTTGTATATGCCTACGAATGACATGCACGATTCGTTTGCATCTTCTTAAAATCAGACATCTGCTCTTCGGATAATGTGTTTAAGTGAATGAATAGAAAAAAATGAAGATAAGACAAAGAAGTTCACTTAAAACTAAGAAGCATATCGTTGTCCTATGACTTATTTAGTCATTCAGGTTTTATACAGTAGCTGTAAAGCTGTGAATTGTTGAAGATTGTTCGATATAATGCAATGAAAATTGTTCTACAACTATGACTATTGCATCATTTTTTTTTCATTGTTCATTGACATGATCATCTTTCAGAATTTCAAAGATGTGAGTTCATGTCATTTTTCTATGTAATCGTTTTTCTTTTCTTCGTCTATCAGAAGGAATAGAAGAATGATTGTTCAGTTATTTTAAGTTGTCTAAGTCATCATCTCATATACCCTAATGTCAACTTAGACAGAGAAAGCATGAGGCAAAGACAAAGAATAGATTTGTTAAATTTTCTTTTTTTGTTCTTGAAATTTTGAATAAAATTTTTTCTGTATGTTTTTTAAAACAGAATATTATATTCGACAGTCCCATCATCAATACTCATTGTTAGAGCTTAGTTCTAAATATTCTGATATAGCATAGTCTCATTAATGATTGCATCAATCATTGGCTGTCTTTGAAGGTTTATTTGAATCAGTTTCTTCTCTTGTTTTACTGAGAACTATAATCTAAACTGCAATAAAAACAAAGAGTTGGAGAATATTTTATTTTATTTTTCTTTATAAATACATTGCAAAGTTGAATTATTTCCAAAAAAATTATCTTTCTAGGTATACAATGATTAAATTAAATCTTCAGTATCATTATTTATTATTCTTATTTTATATTAATTGTATCTCTGGTCAAATATGTCAAAATAATATTGCAGATTTTTTTGTATGTTTACTTTAAAAGAATAATTCTTTGTATTATTTTCTTGTTTTTATTTTCATTTGAGTACAATGTTAATTTTGCTGGACCATTTTTTGATCAAACAGTATATACAGTACTATCAAATTTTTCTGTATCAACTCCAAATAATACACAAGTATTCAACTTTATTGTTAAGCCTCAAACAATTGACACTCGACCAAGTTTTATTCCAATAACAATTAGTAATCGCGCACTTGATATGACATTAGGCAATATTAGTGTAACATCAAGTCATCCAAGTTTCACTGTTGTTAATTTAGCAAATGATTCTTATGCTCTTCTTACAAATACTTTGTATGTCGTAAACGTTAATGCTTCTACTATTATCCTTTTTAAAAAGGAATGCCGATGGTTATTCTTTGAATAACTTTTGATAGGAACGATGAAATGAGCTCGAGCTTTCATCATGCACAAGAGAACACCGAAAACCATCGAGGTAAGTCGAGATCTGATAGGTTAGCAATTGAACAACCCAGTGGACTCTCTAGTGAAGTTTTTTCAAAATGAGATTTTTTGAAACCTTTCAAGATTAACTCTCTGACATTGAAAGGATCTAAGGAAAATTCTGAAACGAAAGCCACTATGAAAGTGAAGTTTACATAGATCGAAAGAGAAAACTTTCTACGGATTGACCATAATACACGTCAGAATCTCCTTTTAAAAATCTTCGTTGAAAACTCATCTGATTCGTTTATTATCGAACGATTAAATTTCGACTTACTTCGATGGTTTCAGGTATTCTCTCTAGAATGGGGAACATCCAAGCTCTCTTTGTTGTTTCTATCAAAAGATATTCCAAAAAACAATCACCGACATACTTTTTCGAAATGGATAATACTAATATACATATATATGCCTTTTTAACTAGTCCTTTGAATTATTTTTCACCTTATAATCGTTATTTATTTCAATTAATTGCAAAACAAACATTTTCTAATCGACCACCAGTAACTTCAATAGCACAAGTTCAAATAAATTTAGAAAATGATAATGTTCATGATCCAATGTTTATTCCTAATAATCAAATATTTTATATAAGTGAAGCAGCTCAACCTGGTACACAATTTGGTACAGTTTATGCTATTGATCTTGATAATGATGAAATAATATATTCCGTACATTGTATACAATTTTGTATTGAATCAACAACAGGTGTTTTACGACTTGAAAAACCATTTGATTCATCATCACAATCCGAATATTTTATTAATGTGACAGCAACAGATAGTGGTTCATCTTGTTCATCACGTCCTTTATGTCGTAAACGAACAAAATCAATCAATATTAGAATTATTGTAACTGTAGTTAATCGAAATTCACCACGATTTTTAAATCCATTGTGTGGTAAAAATATATCATTTGATGAAAATAATACAATTGGACAAGAAATTGTTTCATTAATTGTATTCGACAGTGACCGAGGAGAAAATGGATTGATTAATATATCATTTCCATCTGAAGAATTAAGAACAACAAGTAATATGATTTAATTAATGATATATTGAAATTCAAAAATAAAACTTTTTTTTTACTTAGTAAGTGGTTTAAGAAATACAGCTTATTCTCAGTTTTATATTGAACAATTGGATCAAATTAATACAACTCGTATGGCTGTACTTAGAGCAGATGAAATATTTGATTACGACAAACCAGGTATGACAAAGAGCAAGAACTCACTCACGAGGAAAATCTCCCAAATGATTAATGAATATCCAGAAAAGAAGTTACATCCATATCTTATTGTTGGTATTTCTACTGATAACCACGATATTATATTGAAAGATAGACTAAAAAAGCAATATGTCAGTAGCTAGAAACTATGGACCCGAACTCTTTTGGAAGTATTCACCACTCATTATGGTCTACATGATAGTCATAGTTCCAATTTGAAAGTAACTCATCATTCAAAGGACTTGCCTCGTTAGACTATTCGATTAGTTTTCTGTTTATTTTATTGATGGAACACTTGAAATACTTTCCATGAAATACAGTAATCTATTGAGTTCAATATATTGTAAGTCAACTTACAGGATGAATTAAAATTTAAAAATTAGTTCAATTAGTATCTTTCAGCAGTGCTGCTAAAAACTTATGTCATCAAACCTATTTTCAAGAAAATATGCTTGATACAGCCTACTTCGACTTAAAAAATAAAATATGACTTAACTATCAACAAAATGAAATCCTATTAAGATTGGATGAAAAAATGTCAGAACGGATTAAAGAGTATGTAACAATTCTTTTATACATAAAGCGACTTTTTTTAGCCAGAGAACAGATCATATTTCTATCGATTGATGATATCTAGGCAAAATCATTCGTTACCTTCGAAAAATAAAAATACGCGTACCTCGAGATAATCAACTTTTCTAGAGCTAATATTTATATGTTAAGTTACCCGAGATGACCTGAAAAAATCAGTGCCAAAAATCTTTATTCAGAGAAGTTATCATTATAAAGCTAACATTAAAAAAGACATCGACATTCCTTTCGTGGATTTTAGCTTGAAAAATTTCGAATTAAGGTAACGTTTTTTGAAGACTGAATATAGCAAAAATTTCAGGAATTACAATATTTCTATCTGAAGTTTATTTTTTTATAAAAAAAAAAATTTTTTTTTTTTTATAGGTGCTACTCGAGTTTGGTATTTATTTATATTAGCTAACGATAACGGCAAACCTCAAAGACAAGGTAAATATCATATTTGAAATCTTGTTATGTTTGTATTATTTTTAATCTTCTAGCATTTTGTAGTTTACGTATTAATTTACATGACGTCAATGATAATGCACCAGGTAAAGTTAAAAATCAATGAATTAAATATTTCATTTTTATTTAAACTATTTAGTATTCATAATGACATCATGGAATTATATAATATATCGTTCATCTATGAATACAACAAATACTCGTTTTTTACGTATAATTGCATCGGATGCTGATTCGGGTTTAAATGGTATGATTAATTATTATATCGGAACAGCTCATGTTCCATACTTTTCAATAATTCGTACAACAGGAACAATTATACTTCGTAGTGATATTTTCGGAATATCTTATTTAAATATGAGCTATTTTCCAATAACATTTTATGTTTATGCCCAAGATCGTGGTACACCACCATTAATGAGTAAAAATAATGCAACAGTAACTATTTATTTGAATGATAGTGATGATCCTCCAGCAGCACGATGGCTTGATACACGTTATGAAGAATTAAATATTTCGATAACAGAAAAATTTTATGAAAATTATCGAAATCAACCAATATTTGATTATAATTATGGATTTAATGGATCTATTATATATGAATTAACATCACAAACATCATCTATTATGACAGTCAGTAGTCCATTTCTTGATAATACAAATATACCATTTCGTGATATACCTGTTGTAAGAAACGGACGAATATTTAGAAGTGGTATTACGGTAACTAGGTAAGAATTTATGTATTTCGATGATGCAAAGCTCGAGCTTGCCCAGCTGTGTATTATCAGTATAAATAATGAGTAAGGAGTTTGATTATATCATATTTATTTGATACCGATTGACTATACATAACGAGAGTAAGTTCATTCTCTCTTGATTAACTGAAAGTATATTAGTTAAAAAATTGTTTCCAAAAAGTAGAGAAAGTAATAATTCATTTGTTTTGCTAGATTGAACGAAAAGGCATAGTTTTGTATACTCATACTTTAGATTATTGTTCATTGTATTTCTGTGTGAAAGGCATATCATAATTCAGAAAAAGCGAAATTCATCTAAAATTATCTTAGTTATTGTCGGATTAGAGAATAAAACACAATGCAGCAGATTTGAATATCAATAAAAAAGTTTTAGGAAAATCTTTCAACATTTTTTTTCTATAAACTTTATTCATATCTAATGATAAGATGTTAAATGTAATTGTGTTATTTGTGTATTTAAAACAAGAATAAACAAGATATGAGCATAAGTATTTTTTATGGGCAAATTTACTATTAATACAATAACAGATAGTATAAGAAATAACAGTCATAAGTTTATGAAAACAAATAAAACAAAAAAAATTTACCCAAAATATCAACAGTGATGGAATTCCGTGAGTTCTGAACTCTTGCAAATGTAACTTCACTGTGAGTGATTAAAATACATAGAAGATATTATGGAAATATTTAGTGATCTACATTCGGGGATATAGATACGATTGTTAGTGTACTTATTAATGTGTCTAATGCTGAAATGAAGATAGAAATCTACAAACTAACTAAAAACTCATATCACATCTACACCCTAATTTCTTTCATTCCTGCTAAGCAATAGTTGATAATATCTTATTTTTAACAAATATCTGAATTTCAAATTCCTTCAAAGTTCAGAACATATGGAATCGAAAACGTTTTCAGAAAAAAAACTTCTCGAGATACTGTTTATAAATCATTGCAAAACAGTTTTTATATATTGTACATCTATGATATAGTGGTCTTCATGCTGAAATTCAAAACGTTTATTTACTTTATATTCGTGTACTTGTTAATCCCCCATTAATTGGTTCAATAATAATAAGATTAAAAGATGAAAATGATCAAATTCCAACATTTGATATACGTTCAATTGTTTTAAGTGTTATTGAAAGAGAATATGGAAATCGTATAATTGCACAAATTCAAGCATTTGATCGTGATATTGATTATCAAAATAGTTATGTTCAATATCGTTTAAATGAACGTTTAAGTGATAATGACGCTCTTGGCAATTTTCATGTTGAACAGGATGGTACAATATGGACAAATACTATATTTGGAGAACAAACTAATAAAACATTTTATCGATTATTTATAACAGCATATAATGATGTACCAGCATGGAATTCACCAACACAAAATTCACAAGATTTTCAGCTTGATATTCAAGTCATAAGTATTAATGATAAACGACCAGGTAATTTTTTTCGAATATCGATAAAAAAAAAAATTGTTTATTTAGTTTTTAATAATGGATTAACATTGATAAGTATTTTAATAAATGAAACATCAATTAATGGAACTAATATTCTTAATATAACAATAGTTGATTTAGATATTAATACAAATCTTAATTTGGGAATACTAAAAGGAAATTTGCGAAATACTTTTATTTTTACTTTATTATCAGATAATTCATATAATTTAACACGTACACAATATGAAGCTATAGGACAACTAATAGTTATTGGTCCATTAGATTATGAATTAATATCAGATTATAAACTTGTTTTATTTGCATTTGATACAAAAAATATAGCAACAATTAATGTAACAGTTAAGTTACGACCACAAAATACAAAAGCTCCTTATTTTTTTGATATCATGCCTGGTTCTACTTCTTATCAATATCAAGTCTTTGAAGAAACTCCATGTCCAATACTCGATGAATCTTGTGTAAGCTATTCTACGCGTATGCTTGAGAACTTTTCAATTGAATAGATAATGTTAGTTTTTCGAGATTATTAGATATTTATATGTCAAGTCTTGAGATTAATCTTACGAGTGTTTTCATATACATAAAACAAAAAATTTCAAAAATAAAACATTTAGCAGATATATCATTATTTGAAAATTATCAACAAATGAAAAACTTGAATCCTTCGAAAATTACCTTTTACCTAATCTTCCGCTTACACTTCTTTTTGATAAATTCTTACATAGAATACAATAAATGAATCAAAGAAAATGCTTGCCATATTTATGAACGATAATTTTTAGTATATTTCAATCTCATTGATTTCATCATGATTAAATGAATTTTCTGTTTAAATATACTCTTTCAATTATTTTATCGAAATTGGAGATTGTTTCTCAAATTTACAGATAAAATCAGTCACTTCTGCTTGATACTAGACTTAGAGAATTTGTGATTTTTCTCAGGATAGTACATAATTTTCATAATTTGTCATGTAATGTCGTCATGCTGAAACTCGCTGAAGTATCAACACAACATGAAAAGTTTCTTAATTTAGATCCAGTTTAGGGTTTCTTTCTGATTTCGTATCATTGGTCACAACTGACAAATCGCTTCTTCTGCCATTAGTTCCTATTCGCTCAGAACGCAATATGTATAGTGATGGAGAGCGTAGTTCAGCTCAGAGTAGACTGAGTACACCCCTGGCTGCTCCATTAAAGACACATTAAAAAATATAGTTTTCCACAAACATCTATTTTTATTTTTGTGTTCATGTCGCTGTTGAATGTACTGAAATATAGTTTATGTGCTAAACTAGGCTCTTAGATATTTTTAATCGATGAAAAGGAGAAAATTGTTTTCTTCGCAGCTAATGCAGGCTTTGTCTATTCTGATATGCAACTGATCGGTCGCTACGAATACTTAATCGCTAAAGCTAATCCGGTATTAACAGGATCAACTGCCAGTAAGTCTTACTTTTTGTTTTTTGCTATGGACATGAACATTAAAGATAAAAATTTAACAATTGTTCATCACTTTCTTTTAGTAAATATAACTTTATTTGAAATCAAATTTAAGGCATTTCTTATTTCATACGATTTCCATATACTGCTTAGCCACATGTTCTTTCATTTCAGAAAAGAAAAGGTGTTAGACTGATTCTTGTAGAATTAAAATATGAAACAGAATGTAGCTGTCTTTGCTACTCTCACAGAGCAATTGTTTTATTCTATCTATTTTATCACATACAGCTCCAATTTTCTTTTACTTAATGCTCTAAAAATACAATAAGACAGCAGTTTACACATTGAAACAAGAAGTTATCGATATATTACTTCTTTCTTTAGATTCAAGCAATTGATCCTGATTATCCAAAAGAGCATCTTCATTATGAAATCTATGATACTAATCATCGATTAAATTTAAATAATCTATTTCTAAATCAATCAAATAATTGTGTGTCAATAGGTATTAAATCGCCTGGTCTTTCTCGTGATTTACCATTTGGTGATTCTGTATATAATTTTGCAATACGTGTTATTGATGAAGGTGGAATCGGCGTGTCAAGTTATATACCAGTTAGTATTAAAGTAATTGATGTAAATAATAAAGCACCAATACCAACGGTAAATTTACATTTTTATAATTGAATAATATTTTCTTGGTTTTTTTTGTTGATTAAGAATTTTCCATGGATTTTCAAACAAGGTATCAATCCAAGTATTGAAGTTATATTCAAAGATTACGATGATCCAAAAGAAAATAATACAATTCCTTATACAGTTAAAATTGTTCATCCGTCAAATTTTAAACTTATTGGTCCAACAATAAACTTCAATGGATCTTATAAATTGATATATAATGGTATTTTAAATCGTACATTAACAAAGAATTTAACTGTTACATTCCATGCAAGTGATCATAAACGTTTTTCTAAAATAACAACAATTCCAATTATAATACGTGATGAATTAAATATATATCCAATATCGAATGCTTCTAAAACCATCAAAATTATTTATGTAAATGATTATCAAAATTCATTACGTAATATTGATCTTGGTTCAATTTATGTTAATGATTTAAACGATTGGTTTCATTCTAATAGAATTTATTCAGTAAGATATGTTAGTAATGGACAAATATTTAATGTTTCAAATGGTTTTTTACGTACATCAGAAGCATTATATCCGGGATCTTATACAATACATGTTGAAGTTACAAAGCCTAATGTAACATTATCAGCTTTCAGTAAAATTTATCTTGAAGTAGAAACTATTAATAGTGAATATGTTCGAGAAGCATCAACCATTCGTATTCAAGGTAAACCAAATCTTAAAAAAACAACCCATCAAGTACATAAGATACTTGATAAAAGAAAATTTTCGTTTTTCTGTGCACGCAGTGTATTATTGGCTGAAACTATTAACCTCAAAGTTTTAGCGTTCAATACTCTTTCTTTTAAAAATTAGTCCAGACACACTTTTAATCTCTATTACATCCTTATCAAAAAAAAATATATATTCTGTAAATGTTATGTTCGTTTTCGCTTGAATAAATCATTCAGATTTTCTGATGAGGTTCAGTAAAAGATAGAGAATTAAAAACGGAACAAAATGATCTATATCAGTATAATGTAATATTGATGGATTCAACTTTAATAAAGTGAACATAAATGAAAAATGACTCTTTCGCTGTCCATTTGATAATAATCAATCTCTTCGCAAGATTCAGAATTAAAGAGTTCCAAGAATAATTTTATATATATTAATCAACGTTGTATTCTCTAAAGAATTGTATCTTCGGAATGAAACACTATTCATATTTCTCTCTTTAAGATAATAGCGTTGATTATTTTTGAATTGTTTTTTTTTTAAATTATTTTGTAGTGAATAAAAACTTGCATAACATATACAAAATTTAGCTTGGAACTTTTGAATTCTGAATCCCGATAGAAGATTAATTGTTATGAAACAGACATCGAAAGAATCAGTTTTTATTCATGTTGATCTTATTAAACTTCAATCGGTCAACATCACATTATATTGAAATAGACCATTGTGTTCAGTGTTTAATTCGCTATCTTTTATTACAATGTATAAAAAACTTTGAATGATTTGTTAAAACGACAAACAGCACAACTTTTACAGGATAGCTTTTTCTGCTTTTTTTTTCTCATAAGGATATGTTCATGATAAAAAGTCGGTATTGACTGAATTTTGAAAAAAGGGTATTAGATGATAAAATTTTGAATTTAGTAGTTTTAGACACCGATGTATTGAATGCATCAAAAAACTGCTTTTATCGAATGTCTTATGATGGCTTTCATAATTTATATAAAAATTTACGTCATTATTTAGGTGAATATCCTGAAACATTAATTGATCCAACACTTGGTTATCCTCTTAATAAACTTCAAAATGCACTTGTATCATTATTATCTGTTACAATCAATTCAATAAAAATACTTGCAATTCGTCCTGTTTTTCAATATCGAAGTTCATATTATCCACCAAAAACTTTCGAACTTGACAAAAATGAAACATTAATTGATGTTATATTTTATGTACCAAATTTTAATAAGTTCGAAGTTGAACATATCCTTAATGCAAATCTTAATTTATTTGAATCACACTTTAAAATAAAAGCTATAGCTAGTGGACCAAATCCTTGTAACAATTATGTTTGTCCTACGGGTAAAAAAGAATTTTTATTCTTGGTTTATTTATTCTTTTGTTAAACACGATCTGAAAAAAATCATTATCGACACACATCTAGTTATATAGATTGAATTTCGATTTTTCTTCGTAACAGTAACTAGATAAAGTATCTTAATAGTGATTTGGATAGAGAATTTTGTTTATAATAAAGATTTGAGAAAAATGAAATCTTCATTGTATATGAAAAATCTATTACTAAGTTTCGTTATTTATAATCGAAATAGTTTCATCATTTTTCAAAATTTTAATCTTATAGAAATTTATCTAAAACTTTTCTTTTTTTTTGTTTTGTTTATTAAGGTACAAGTTGTCGACCAACACGAACAATTCATCCAAAACCTTCTACTATTGATACAAATTTAACATCGTTCGTTGGTATTAATATTCTTGATTCAGCTGATTGTATAAATTCTACTTATACTGTTAATTTAATAAATAAACCAAATGAATGTATTACTTCTACATTTAATAATTTAACATATTGTTCATCGATATCATTATTATCTTATGGTACAATAGGACCATGTTGTGAAATACTTGGACGAACATTTAATGAAAATGGTGATGGATATGCAGTATATGCTGGTACAAAATTTTCTAATATAGCTCCAGCACGTTTTTCATTTGATTTTATTCTACGATCACCAATAATTGATGGTTTAATTTTATTATATGGACGAAATTTACCACCAATAAATGATTTTTTTTGGATAGCTATTGAAATTTATCAAACAAAATTAAAATTTCATTTTCAAAATACAAAAATTCATACAGATAAAACTATATTGAATCCATTAACATGGTATCATGTTGAATGCCAGGTTAATTTATTTTTTCGAAAGAATAAAATATTCTTTAGTTTATTTTCTTTAGTTTATCGATTCGATGGTTCTTTTATCAGTGAATGATTGTCAATATGGTTTATATTTAGTAAATAATACTTTAAATACATATAATCTATCAACTGTTAAATTATATCTTGGTGGTTTACCTCTGACTGATTCACTTTTATCAAGTCTTTATTCATCATTACCATCAATAAATACATTTAATGGTTGTATACGTAATGTTTTATCAAATGGTTATTATCTTGATATGTCTAAAGATTTATCATCAGCTAATTCAAATTATGGTGAATGTCCATGTTCAATTACAAATTCATGTATTACAAAAGAACATGTTATAGATATTATTATACCTTGGTACACGTGGTTAATTCTTGTACTTGTTTTATTATTATTAGCCACAATATTTTCAATAGTTTTATTGATACTTACAAGAAAAAGAAAACAATTGAAAGCATTAACAGGTTTATATATGCATGATACAAGAGATGATATTATTAGTTATAAGTAAGATAATAGTACAACTTTTATTTTTTGATAAGACTTATTTTTCTCAATAAATTCTTTTAACATAAACATGTAAAATTATTTAACTCTTCCAGCTGACTATCAGTAAAACAAAAAAAGTGATTAGCGAATATCTCTTTAACTATATGAGAAATTCATTTGAACACTTAAGTATGGACTCTATGACATGAATTGTATCTATAATGAAATTTTCCATAAGATTATTCTCCAAAAAGTTTCATCTGATCCATGTCATAGAAATCCTCAAAAGTTCCGAAACAATAATATTTATCTTGTCATTATTTAGGTATTCTGAAAAAGAAAAGAATTGTACCGTTTGAAATTTGCATTCAGTTATCAAAGCATTTTTTCATACTCCATTATTTCGATAACGGAAAGTACATCGATATTTTTTTTTGGAAAATCTAGACATCCTCAGAAAAAAAATTTGAATAGAAAATTTTTAGCCTCAGGAATCATTTACATTTAATTTTCAAAAATACAACTTTAATTCATTTTTTTCTTAAATAAAATGCACGAAGTGAAAGTCTTTAGAGTAATTTAATATACATTTAACATAAAAATGAAGTCATTTTCGTTTTACGATTCAATGATAAATTGATATTAATCTTTATCTGTCTACTATTGAAAAATTTTCAATCAATGCTCATTAATTTCTTTAAATAGAATGTCATGATTAAATAGCTTGATTATTATTTGGAAATTACTTTTGTTTTTTTTTATTTTGATATGCTTATCAATGAGTGAGAATGACTTTTAATTATATGCTTTTTATTTAATATTAAATTTTCAAGTATTCAGAGTTAACTCTTGCTAATTAGTTGAAATACTGCAGGAATATAGACAAGAATTCTTTGAATGTTAAAGTGCACATAATGCAAAAATTGAATAAATCATTTTTCTTGCTCCTTCTTATACCATTTTATAGAGCATAAAAATTTCATCAAAGATATATTATTTTTGAATCTATTGGTCGATGTTTGATCAATACAAAAACAAAAGATTAGGAAAGTAAGAAGCAATATCTAAAACAACGAGTTTTCGTCATAAATTTTCAAGTGTTTTGTTATTCACATACTGAAAGTATTGCCCGATATGCATCTATCGAATAAAACTTCTCAATTACATTATTTGTGCTATTTATAGATAATATTGTAAAGTTCTCTAGGTTTTTTTTTATATTAAGAGATAAGATCAAGTCTCATGTCTCTTGAGAATCACTAGGTATTGATATTCGAACGTATTCTATTATATCTGTACATGCTCAGACATAATTTTTTGAAAATTTATCCTGTAGCCTTCCAGAAGGATAATTCTGATCGAAAACGTATCTGGTTAAAAAATTTGATTCGTTCTAGTTTTTTTTTACGCTGATTTCGAATATTTTTTCTGTTTTCTATATCATGAAAAAATTAAGTAAATATGTGCATATTTTTTTCAGAATTTTAATATATAACTAGCTAGAAAGATCGAAAGCATGTAACTTTCTCAACAATAAAACAAAATCTAGAAAAAATAATAGCATAAATTTGAAACTCAATATCTAATCATTCAAATAAGATATGATACTTGATTCTATTTCTTAATACGAAAAAACTAAAAAGATATATAAGATTGTCTATGAATACTACAAAAACGTGTTTTGGTAGTCGTATTCAATATATCGATGTTGAACAATACTTTCATTATGTAAGCAACAAAAAAAACTTGAAAATTTCCTATGAAAACTTATTTGTTTTAAAGCTGTATTTCGTATTTTCTTAAAACATGAAGCAATAATATAATTCCAATTAAATTTTCATGCTCTATTGAATGATACGTAAAGAAGCTCGAGAAAGAAACTTATTCGATTATATCTCTATGTATACTTTACAAAATTTCGCTTGTTTTTTTTTCTAATTACAAAACATAATCTATTCAAACATTTCACATTTTCTAGATATATCTGTTTAATAAATGTCTTTTTTCTTTTTTTAGAGACACTGCCGGCGAAGAAGATCATTCGAGATATAACCTACGTGTATTAAAAAGACCAATATATGATTTACAAGATAGTAATATTATATCCCATAATAGCATATCAAGTATAAATAATCTAGATAAATTTATTATTGAATAATATTTTTATATATTTTTTTTTAAGGTTATCACGCTTCAAGGGTTTATCTTCGACCATCACTTAGTGATTATATTGAGAAAAAACTTGATGAACAAGTTATATCATATGCAAATGATACAAAATTACATTATCAATATGAAGGTGAAGGTTCTATAGCATCAGATTTAAGTTCTATGGAATCTTTATCTTTACAAGATGAAAATGATTATAGATTTTTGTATTCATTGGGACTAAAATTTTCACCTTTAGAAGATCGATATTCTGATCACGTTCAGAATAATAATAATAATAATACTTAGAAAAAAAAAACTAAACTTGTATAATTGTGTTTTGTTTTCATTAAGCAGTATATAGATATTAGTTTTCATTTCCTATTACCTACGAATAACTCGTTTATCTTCATATCTTGAAATTTTTATGCATATTTTTATTTTATTTCTATATTTTTTACAATTATGTTTATATTTGCGCGAAAGAATATAAACCACCAAAAAAAGAAAGAAAAAAAAAATGAAACGAAAGAAATGAAGCGCGACCGAATAAGTTTATCTGATCGTAAATTATATGGATATTTAAAAATAAATGAAAAAATAAAACTAAAATTTTTATTCTCAAAAACCATATGTTGGAATAAGCATTGATATTCGTTGTTGAACAAATTTATAGTCAGGATATTTTCGAAATAACCGTTCTTCAGTCATTGGAATTGATCCATATATCATCATTAATGTTATTAGTAATGGACCAAGTCCACACCACAATGGTGCATTATAAGTATAGCCAAGAAAAAATAAACCCCACCAAAATATAATTTCACCGAGATAATTTGGATGTCGACTATATTTCCAGAGACCATTTGATAAAACTGCAAATCTATGTTCCTTTGATGTTTGCTTATGACGTCGAAATGCTGTTAATTGTTTATCAGCAATATTTTCTAATAAAACACCGGAAAAAATAATTAACAATAATAATATATCCATTATTGTCAAACTTTCATATATATGAATATTAGTATAGATGTAATATATCGATGATGAACCAATTAATACTTCAAACATTGGCAATAAATATAAAGCAAAAAATGCAAATACTAAAAAATTATCCTTATATTGTTGTCTCATCATTTCATAACGCCAATCTTCGTTCTTAATATTATTTGATGACAATAGTGTTTGCCATATTAAATGGAATGACCATAGAAATATCAGAAGAATAAGTGGAAGACATTTCATTGATAAAAATTCAAATGAATTTAATGTAAAATTAAAATAAAAAGAACAAATCAATGGAACTAAAGGCCAATGAAGATCCTGAAGATTATTCCATGAAAAAAAATGATTACCAATAAAAAATAAAATACATGTTATGCAAAAATCAATAACATAAGTACGACATAATGGTGAAGAAATGAATGAAAGTAAAATAAAATGTAAAATGATTGATAATAAAAATAATATAGAATAAACAGTAAAATAAACGACTGAAGTTGATGATGGTAGTTTCATATTTCTTCAAAAAAAAACAACAACACACAAATATTTCAAAAAAAAAATTTATATGGGTGTGTGTATGTCACAGCATGAAGCTGTTTTTAACTTACACGGTGAAATAAAAAAAAAAGAAAGAATAACGATAACAACACATAAAACTAAAAAAGAACGGTCGGGAAGAAAGAAAAAAAAAGACATGATTCGTTGTTTCTTTCGTTCGTCAATAACAACCATGGCTCACCTTGGCAACATTTTAGTTACAGACACAGCATTAGTGCATTACCATTCAAAAGAAAAAAAAAGATTGAATACTTAGGGAAAAAAATTCTATCATGGATTCTGATGATCGACTTGATACTTTTCGTCAATCTAATACCATGTCATCAATGGAACAAACTTTGACAGCACCATTGAATAATACAATTGACTTTCTTGTAATAATTATCAATAATTAAACTCGATTTATCATTTCTTGTTTTTTGTTCTTTTTTTTTCTTCAGGGACCTGGAAATGACCTTGGCCAAACAACCGTCAACTACGAACAAATATTAGATGAATCTTCTCGAGAACGTAAATTATTCATTATTTAATATAATTAAACTTTTTTTTTGTTTCTCTTTTTTCATACAATTATTAGCATTTATTTTATTATAATAACAACAATAAGAACTATCAAGATAAACAAAATGTGAAACATTGCAGCTGTCGAAGCTAAAATTGCCTCTTCATGGCATCGAGACATTATTGAGATAATGCATGCAAATATAGACAGATGTTACTCTAAACGAATCGAATGCATCTTATAACGTCAAGAAATCTGATTCGAATATTTATATTAACCAAGATAGAATTTCAATATACAACAAAATCAGAATAATTAAAAAAGATTATATAGTGAATTATTAGGATGTAAAAAAAGAAAGATTTTCTAACACATCAACATATAGAAAAAACAATTTTTATGAATATATTATAACCAATTCACCTTTGTTTTTTTTTTGATCTTGCAATCATTTAATCCATGACATGAAAAAAAAATGTTTATTTTAGTATTTGAATTCTAATTCTTTTTTTTTATCTTGTTTGTATTCTAGTACTTAAACATGGTTTTAAAAAAGTGGCGAAAAAAAATGATTATATTCGTATAGAAGAAATCGGTGATGCATTTCGTCATTCAGGTCAAAACCCCACGGAAGATATTATTAAAGATATGATTGAAAAAGCAAAAACACTTAAAACATCAATTCCTCGTGACGAAGACGACGGTTCGTATATATATATAGCTTTTAAAATTCGTAAAAGTGTGAATAGAATAAAAAATATTTAAGTGTCGTTCGATATTTGTTGATTTTTTGCTTGTATTTGAATTCTCTGAAATGTTTATATTTTATTGAAATAATATTGTTATTTATCATAATATAGATGGACCACCGGATGATCATTTATCATTTGCTGATTTTTTGACAGTTGTTCATGAAAATTGGATAGCACCTGAAGATGATAAACAACAATTACAAGATGCATTTGATATACTTGATCCACAAAACAAATCAAAATTGATGGTTGATGAATTTGTATATTTACTTAAAAATTGTGATTGGTCTGAGGAGGAAATTCAATTACTTTTATCACAAGTTAGCTGTGCTGATGGTTATTTTCTTCATGATGGTAAACAATAATTATCTATTATTTGTTCTTAATATTAATTTTTTGTTTATTTCTATAGATTTACAAAAATTACTTTTGACACCAGTTGAATTACCAAAGAAAAAATCAGGAAAAACAAAAAAGAAAAAATAACTTGTTTTTTTTCTTGTACAAATATGCTTGCTAATTTTTTCTATAAATATGTATGAATTTATTCGTTTTATTTTTTTTTATCTGCTTAGTTATGATATTTTGTACTTTGTTTTCTTTTTTTTTGGGAGGGGAAGAAGGAAGGGAGAAGAAGGAGAGGCGATAGTTATCTTATAGATTTCGTAATTCTTCATCGATCTTCATCAATTATATCAGCAGAGTTTTTTTTCTTATTTTTTTTCTTCTGGTACATTTGTTCCCTGGCTATTATAGATTTTTTTACCAGTCGTTTCTGTCCTTGTCGTTAGTCGCTGGAAAGAAGCGTATAAACGAAGAAGTCAATCTTAATAGAAAACATCTGACGGTCTTGTGCGAACTGTTTTACAAGACAGTCTTCTATCATACAGATATACAGAAAAAGAACGTTTGCTTTTTATCCAACAAGATGATTTGTACTGAAGTAACAACGATTAGAACATTTCCTATTTCTTGCCATAAGAATATTGTTCCTTTTCTTCTTGTCTTTATGTCATCGAGGGGAAAAGAATTGTCAGCCGCAAAGCAACGTCAAGACTTCTATATCTATATATTTTTTTCTTATGCACCCACGACTTGATAATAATAATAATGAATAATGATACCCTGGATTCTCTTTGATAAATATACGATGTACAGCTGCTCTAAAGAGAAATAAATTTGAACTGTAATAGTACATTAAAACAAACGAAACTGTCTAGCATAAATTTTTAAGTGTGCATTTAGAAAAGGCGAAGTAACGCTCGAATAGAGAAGGGGTGACGTAAAATAAAAAAAATACAAACGCTCAAAAAACAATAACAACAACAAGTACAGTTACGAATAACGGTCTTTCTTTTAATTTATGTGTGCATCTATGCATACGCAAGTGCATAATATTCGTCTCCTGTTGTTTTCTTTTGTATTTCGTTTTAACCCTTTTTGTTTTTTCTTGTATGTGTGTATGTGTTTTTTTTAAGGCTTCTATTTCGTTGGCGTTCTTGTGCCGACCTGTAGCTTGTTTTTTGTTGCTGGTGCGGTCACAGACAGCGAATAGCAAAAACGAAGCGACGAAGCAATTGTGAAAAAAAACACAAAACGCACCGCGAGAAGCAGAAAGAGCAATGAAAAAAAAGAAGAAAAAGAGAAAAACTAAAAATGTGTTCGGTATCTGTACAGGAAAAAAGAACCTCTTCCTTTCTCTCGTTTTGTCTGTCTGTCTTTCCTTCATTCGTTCTACGGTTTTTTTTTTGCGCTGTCGAATACTCGCTTCGTCGGGTGTTTTGCTGTGCGTCTCTCTCTCCTCTTTCTCCTTTCTTGTGGTTGCCCTCTTGTGGTTGTTTTCTTTTTTCTCCCTCTCTCTCACTCTCTCGTGCGACCGACTTTGCGTCCCATCTTCTTCGATTGGGAAGCGCTGGTGTGTTTCTAGAGTCTCTGATGGATGTCAACGGCCCAAAGAAATCACCACAGCAGCCTTTTCGCAGTCTGTTGCCGTTACGTTTTACTTGTCACAGTCGTTACGGCGACCAGTCGGAACGCCTATAATTTTCTGAGTGAGCCGGTGTGCTTGAAATGCATTTCGACATCTTTATGGTGTTCGTCTCTATTGCTACTACTGTTCTTTGTTCGTTACCGTCATCCTTGTCAAACTCGATCATTACTCAAACTAGCTCAATAATAACGACAAGTAAGTGTTATTCTTTATTAAATTAAATTACTTAGATAGTCACTTAGAAACTATTACTATTCATTCTTATGGATTTTGCTCTACATTGATTGGTGTATATATCTGTATATATATAAATATATAAATATATGTAGTTATATGTAAAATGAAAGAAGCTTAAGTGCCGGTATACTATAAGGTGATATAATAAATAATGTAATTCGATCTTTGATCTGTATCAATTTAGTAATTATGTGGTGTTTTCCTTCTTCACTTTTTTTTCTTTCTTTTGTTCTCTTATTGCTGACTTATGATTAAATCTGATATA